AGAGAAGACATGCATTTCAAAACTGAATGAAATGACCAGGAAAGAGAATGGGGCAATATCATCTAACAACTTAGCATGTTGCTCTACTTAGGGCTGGCAAGGCAATAGGAGATGGTTGGAAGTACATCTCCAGGATGATAGACACTGAGCAAGTGGCTAAAGCGGGAAACTCAGATGCCTGATGCAAAGCACTGGCTGAAGAAGATTTCAGGGAATCTGAAGGCATGAAGAACACCCCTTCTCATTCATGTCATGCCATGCGAGCATGTAAGAACTCATGGGAATTCATTATGGGTATATGCTACACATAAACATGGGAGGAGAGACATGCCTGAGCAAGGTTTGTAAGGTTGATGCAGCTGGGTAAAGAGGTTATGCATGCTTTAAAATCCATTGTATATTTAAATAAATATGGTCTATGACAGTGAACACAGCTCTAACTTATGAAAGCTAATGACTTTCCAGTGATAATTAACCTTTCTATTGTATTGCACTTGGTGGTGGCATTTATCACAGTTCATATATCCCAGAAAATTTTGTAGACTTCTCTCTCACTCACTGGACTACAGAATTTTAGATGATAATGTCTTTAAAAATTATTTTGCTTCTGATTATTCTTACAACATCTTGCCTTGGCCTTTGCATGCATGGTAGATAATGATTACATGAAGCAAGACTGAAAACCAGCAAATTCTTGTTGGTGCAAAGTAAAATCTCATACAAAGAGCCCAAATTATACATTGAAGGTATACTTGTTTTGAGTATTTTTTACTCTGGGGCTGTGCTGGGGATGATCACTCCTGTCCCCTGAGATTGCCTACCCAGAGTACAGCCCAGGTGGTGACTCATGAGAACAAGAAATGGCTGCTTTTGCCCCTACCCCTACCCCTCCCTGTCCCCTGAACTTGACATGCCATGAGAACAAGAAATGGCTGCTTTTGCCCCTACCCCTACCCCTCCCTGTCGGCTGAACTTGACATGGGGGCAGGTGGAGACTTTCTTAGATTAAGTTTCCTTTCTGGAAATGTTGGTACCAATTACTCCTTCAGAGTTCAGGACATAGTCAAGAACTTGTCAGAGTTTGCCTAAGCTTTCAGCCAAAAAATCTGGGAATCAATACAGACTACAGATTGAAACCAGGCAACCTTAAATGATACTTCAGGAATGCCTCTGGGTGGGGGGACAACAGGCCCTTTGAGTTTAGCTTTTGACTTTTGATAGGACAAGAAAAAAAATCCAGACAGAAAAGAGCAGTTCTGGTCAACCGCTTTTTAGAGACATCTAAATTAAACACATGGAGTTTTTATGAGTTTATCAGTTCCTACACTGCCTGCCACAGGTTGTTATCTGCCAAGGTAGTTAGCTCTGTTCTGTTGCAGAGCCTTCTAGGGCTGGTAAGGGGTTTAACATATGGGCCAAGGGAATATTTTGACCTTGGAACACACTTGGAATTCATATCCAGGAGAGCTATCTGTCCTGTTACTGCCTGGACCTAGACATGATTTAGATAATTGCTTTTGTTCTGTTATGTTTCCTGTGTATCCGGGATACTCCAGCACATAAGCACAAATTTAGCTACACAGCATGAGGACCTGGGTTTGAATCCCCAGCACCCATGTGAAAACAAAGCATGGTGCCACATGTTTATAACCCCAGCTTTGGGGGTGGAGAAAGAAGAGACAAGTGAATATTGGGTGCTTGCTCGTCAACCCATCTTGCTGGAGAGCTCCAGACTCAGTAAGAGACCTGACCTTGTCTCAAAAAGTTAAGATGGAGAGTGATAGAGAGTAACCTCTGGACTACACACACACACACACACACACACACACACACACACACACACACACGCACGCACGCTTCCAAATACCTTTAATCAAGTTTTCTGATCCCATTATTTTACTCTTTGTTTCTGTTGCCTTTGTCTTCTGTTTTTCTGCATCATGTTGTCTACTGTCCTTGTCTTAGGCAGCTCTTCATTACTGCAATGGAATGCCTGAGATAACCAAGTTATAAAAGAGTAAAGCTTTATTTTGGCTGATGGTTTCAGTCCATGATTTCTTGGCCGTGTTGTTTTGGGGCAAATGGCAAGGCAGTTCACCATAGCAGGTGTATGCTGGAGCAAGCTGCCCACCTCTTTGTTTCCAGGAAGCAGAGAGGCTGGGGGAGGATTGCACTAGGTTTCCATAATCCCCTTTGATAAGCATATCCCAAGTGATTCAACGCCTCCCATTACACCTCACTTTTTTTTTTTTTTCTGAGATAGGGTGTCTGTGTGGCTTTGGAGGCTGTCCTGGAACTAGCTCTTGTAGACCAGGCTGGACTTGAACTCACAGAGATCTGCCTGCCTCTGCCTCCCAGGTGCTGGGTTTAAAGGTGTGTGCCACCACCACCTGGCTTACACTTCACTTCTTAAAGTTCCTCCAAACCCCCTCCCCATTACACCACAGGCCTTTGAGGGATACTAATTCAACCCACAACAGCCATTATTAGCAAAAATTCCCTGAAGTTCATATGACTCAGAGTCTGTCTCCTACATGAGATAGAAGGGGTGTTTTGGGTTAGGCATAAATATCTGTTGAATTCAGTGATGATAAGGTTGGATTTACAACTGGGTTTTCTGGAGCTTTCCTCAATGAACAATTTTCTAGAGCTTCTTTCCGAAGACCTACTTGAATCTGCTGTACTCTCAGACTGGGCAGGTTCCACTAATATCCACTCATGGCCAGTAAAATACAGCACCTGGGAGCTGAGGAGGTAGCTCAGTTGCTCAGGTTGGATATGCAAACATGAAGACCCAAATTCAATCCCCAGGACTCCTTTAAAAAGTCTGGCACGGTGGTGTACACTTGTAATCTCAGTGCTGGGGAAATGGAGACAGCCAGATCCTTTGCCTGTCATTGACCAGTGGGACTAAGCTAATCAGTGATCCCCAGATCACTGTGAGAGTACCTGCATAAAAGCAGCAAAATAACAACAGTTTTTGAAGAATGATACCAGAGGGGCGCGTGTGCATCACACACACACACACACACACACACACACACACACACACACACACACGTTTTTTTCCCTGGAATAAAGCAGGAGGTCTGGATTGAAATTCCAGCCCTGCTGTTTATTAGCTTTGCCAGCATTGGTGGTTACCCAGAACCTTTACCAGATTTTTTTGGCAAGTGGTAAATTATCTTCTCTGGAAAGTTCCCCAGTATGCATGTGAACTTCTTAGCACCAGGAGTTTCATACTGTTTCTTTCTTTTTATTTTTTCCTACAACGATTATGGCTCAGGGAGTGTGGGTGTAGGGTGGAAATGGGCACACAAACAGGTAGCTTTTGCATTATAGTTGGCTTTTCTTCTTGTGTGAGTGACTCACTGGAATTTCAAGGGTGGAATAACCTGCTACTGCTTCCAGTGGTGCTGGGATATCTGAAGCCCCAGAGGTCAAAGCAGGACTTACCAGAGAGGGGACCAGACCATGGAACTCAGCCTTTTCATGAAGGCCTGCCATACAAGCTTCTAAACAGGGTGGTTTCAAAGCCCCTCTCCTGACAGACCTGTCACCATGCAGCTTGATTTATGTTTCAGTGACAACTTAATGCTACTAGAGATTTTATGAAACCTAAGCGTTTCAAATGTCATTTTTTTTTGTTATTCTAGTTCAACCGAGACAGGGAGGCCTGAGGGCTTTTATTCAAGGAGGAAAAGGAAAAACAGCAGGTCAGGAACTTAAGGATTCTCTGCTGAGACAGCTGGCATCTTGCAGTTGCTGTAGCTGAGAATCTTGGGGTGCCTCTGTGAAGCACAAACTAGTCTGATGGCTGCGTTTTCTAAGCTAGGGAGGTAACGACGGTATGGTCCCTGATGGAGCTTATCCACACTGGAGCCAAAGTCACCAACCCTGTAACCTCCACCCTGCACTTCTCTGAGCCCACAGCCCAGAGAGCAAACCGCGGAACCCAGAGCTGCAGTAATTTCGACTGTCGCGCGCCCCCTTGCGCAGTACCCCCACACCACTCTGCAGGTCCCCAGGGAACTGCCCGTGGTGCTGAATTTTTCCCTTTGTCTGAGAGGGACCTGGGACCACAGTG